TGGTTGAGCCATGTTAGTTTGTAGTGTCTAAGTGTCAACCCAGAAACTATTTACACAATGAAAACGTAACATTTACTATCTTATTCGCATTTAAACATAATTTATTTGAAATTAACCATTCGGCAGTTTTGAAAGTCTTTAAAACAAACGCGTGCTTTCCAAAAATAGTAATAAATTGCAAAATACGATTAAACTAACCCTCCGTAGCCTAAATTAACTTTGAATTTAGCCTTCAAAATCAATTAGTTTAAATAACAGTTAGGTAAACAACAGCTACTACGCAAAATTATGAACTATACAGTGACTACAATAGGAGAGGGCTACAACGCAAACAAAATAAAAGGAAAACTATAAGGAAGTGGATCGTAGCTTACCAATCAATGCACTGGTACTTGATTCCACGAAAGCCGCGCACTAAATAATATTAATTGCAGTACCTGGCGTTTCCTCCTGCAGACAACGTGGTGCCCTGGAAAATGGAATTGTATTGTAAATCTTTCAACGCTGTCTTGCCGCTCTCAAATAATGTTTTTTTGTATCTGTTGAAATAAATAAAAATAAAAACCAAAACAAAATCGGCAAATTTCGGGTTTTGTGACACATATATCTATCAGGAGTAACTATTCTCCTCCATAATTTATTCACAAATCGCTCCATCACTGGATTACGATTGCAGTACACCCACTTGCAGGATTGGGTATCGGGTGGAGCACTTGCGGAGTAAATCCAGTGAAATTGTTAAATGGGGAAGTTCTAGGAATTCATTCAAGATGTTAAATTCTTATTCCTCCAAATCCAGCGCTTTGTGAGAACTCTCCAATTCCAATAAAAAACGTTGACAGGTAATTAACTGGGATTAACTTAATATTGCGCGATTAATGGTGTTTGAATTTTGTTTAAATTGAGAGGATGAGAAATGTGCAGTTTATTCACGAGTACTAAGCACTATTTATACTCTGCTCTGTTCTCAATATAGGTAACCACTACCAGGGAACGCTGTATGTTATTGTATAAGAGTTGCTCTTATACTAACCTTATAAACTGCCATAATGTGTAAGTAGATTAGGAAAAACAAACAGAACAATGAAATCCGTATGTCTCACACACAACTAATATATCTTAACTGGTAACTTTATTGTAACCCTTTTCATTTAAATTACAGTGCTCAAAGTCAATTTTCATTTGAGATCTCAACATGTCTAATTTGTGGACAAAAAATCTAAGTAATAATTAGTTTTGAATTTTTTTTTTGAAAAATAATAGAACAAGAACAAATTACATATAAGAACGAGGTTTTAAATTTTTGAATTAGATCACTATAGCGTTATTATTAAATATAACAGAACGGTAATAATAAAGTAAGGTTTTTGATTGATGTGTTCGCTAATTGAATTTCGATCTAACTAAATCGTATCTAAAGTAACAAAGCCGTAATTAAATTTCATAGAAAGAATGTTTTAAATTCTGAATTGGTGGAATTTGAAGCGGTACCTTACGTAATTATAACTAGAACAAAGTAATATTATACGACAAAACGAGCTTGCCTTTTGCAGTCGCCCAAAAAAGCAGGTTTCACCTTTTTGTAATAAAAACACTCCTTTATTCTATTATTTCAAAGAACTTCAATTTTATCAGTGCTTTTGACTCGATGTTGCATTCTACAACTTACTACATATATACGACTCGAAACTTTTCTACATTTCCTCGCAACATGCAGTTAAAGTGCTTTTAGTTTTGTGGATCTGACACAAAACCGCGATATGTGTGTGTCACATTTCAAATTTTTAACTTAAAACGCAATAGCCATTATCCTCAGATTTTTTCTAAACGTTTTAACAAACTTTTATTCGTTTACTTCGGGAAACGTTACGACAGTGACGGCTCATTATCATAATGAAAAAACTCTAGGATTAAAAGGAGAAAATCACTCGCAGAGAAACCGTTCTCACCGCAAAGTGTTAATTATCTCTCTATCTGTAATCGTATTGTTTCCTTATTGAACTCCCTACGATTTGGCTTAATTGATTTTTTCTTCATTCTCTTTATTAGATAAATAGGCCGATGTATTTCTTTTCATGTTAAGTACTTCGATGGTTTCTTAGAACATTTCCCACCAACTTCTCGATTACTTTCAGCTTAGTCTGGCCTGAGTCATCCTTAGTGTCATAGTAATTACTTCATTCAAGGCATGCACATTTATGCTTACAGTGTCTTCCAAAATGTGAGCAAGCCCTGATTTATTTTCTAATAGAAATTTACCATTACTAGAAAGTCCAGTTTAACGATTTATTTTCTCATTACGAAGCATTATTGTTTATGGTTTATTACTTGTTGAAGAACCTCCGTAACTTTTGAAACGATTTGATAGATGGCTTCATCTATTGATGGAATTTAACCACGCAATTTTGCCGTGCAGATTGGCAACGCCTTGATTTGTGGATGGCGATTCTCAGCTTTCTTTTTCCTTCGTAAGCCGTATCAAGGTACACGTCAATTAAATAAATAGCTGAACGCGTGTTGTAGAACGCATGGAATTCTAATTGCCGCATCTTCCGAATATATTGATCTCTGGTGGTTGGATTCACAATTTGGGAATTTCCGAAATAATTAGTTTGGATGGGATGTACCTACGCTCCTAGTGAGGATATACATTAGCGTTTTTCCTCAGTATCTTTGCCATCTCGGTTAAGTTATGATCGTGTATGACACGCGAGTTTTGTTGGAGACCACCACTTCCTTCTGAAGGGGCTGACCAATTAACTACCTTACCTAATATAGAAGCAGATTACGACTAGAACTAGCTCCTTCAGGCATTAGTTCTATAAAATTTAAAAAATTCTAATTTATAATTATTTTCCTGACAACGAATCATTTTTTCATTTTTCCGCTTTGAAAGAACGAATGCCGGGGTAAGTCCGTTGGCTTCTTGAATGTTTAACAAAAGAATTTATAATATATGTACATACTTTGGGATGAAATTTGTTTCTGCCTAACGTCATTTTCTTAAAAGAGGATTACGTCGAGACCAGAATCTATCCGTTGTTTACAATAATTCGGATGACTAACAAAGAAGTTCATAAAACTCGGTGAGATATGTTCCCATTTTATTGTTTCCTTGCGATAAGATTGTAAAAACATTTGCTGTAGTCATAAAGAGAATATACAGCTGTCGCACATAAAATTGCTGCTTACAATTTTCAGTGTTTTTCTCGCGGAAATTTCTTAGCTTAACGGTCTCGCTATGAAATCTTTTGAATTTTATAAAGACAATATAACCGCCATTCTATTCCCAATATTAAAATGGTAATTGAAAGTTAAATAATTTCCCACTTTTTGCGTGCGGATCTTCTCTGAACGTTAAGTGCGGCGGGTATTTTTCGTGTCGTCAGGTTCTTACTTGCTATGAAAAATGGGTTAGTTGTCGGGTTTACTGTTGACAATAATGTTGCGGAAATTTATAGGGCACCTAGACGTTGTCATAATTCCGGTGTAAAGGCTAAATGCAACTTACGGGCAACGATGTTTTCTTTTAAAAGATGATGTACGGGCCATTTGGAACGGCTTTATTAGCAAGCGCACATCTATCTTCATCGCAGACGTAACAGGCCGCCGCAAAGTGCGAGAAATGTAAATTGAAACTTGTTTAGAGCCGTTTGGAAGCGTGTGCATGAGTGCAGAATTATCTAATCTACATATCGTTGGGTAATAAACAACCCTCATAATTGCAATTTTTGTTAAAATAATTTTTTTGCGAATATGTGCAGTACTCTTAATTCACATATAACTAAAAGTTTTCCTTAAAAACAATCGTCACGCATATATGACTCGATTTACTTGCCAATGCAATGGTGAGTTTATAAAATCATTATCATTACTTCACTATCAAAAATCATTAGGAAATAACCAATAGAACAAAGGTTTATTGGGCGTTGCTAGCCAACGAAACCATCCTGAGCTTAGTGAACTAATGATAATGATTGTAAAAAAAGCCAATTACAGTTTCATTTCTGCAAGGACGTATTAATTATGATTTAGTTGACGATCACTGTCATTTTTGTTTGAGATTCGCTGTAACACCTAAATCATTAGTAGTGAATCTTTATCGGTGGATTCCTTCACGCATTTTTGCTTTGCTGTTCGGTTTCCGGCATCATTCTAGTTACGGCCCGTTTGGATCTACACCTTCATCCATGTTGGTTTAATTGTAAATTCTTCATTGTTTCTGGCGATTAACCATTTTGTTGTGCAAGTCTCGACATAGTTTGGAAGCGATCGATTTTGAACGCGTTATTATTTTGTTTGAGTACGTGGATCTCCTTCGGAGGCCTAAGTCCTTGTTGATGTTCCTCAAGCATTAATTAATTAAGTAATTAATTACCGAATCACGTAGCCTGGGCTTATCTTTCGAAGAGAGCTCTTTTCTTGCGACGGCGTTTATTTTTTTAAAGGAAAGGTTATTTTTATATTGTTACTTGTAACCCCATTATCGATTTAGTTTTTTTGTTACTGTTTTGGAAATCGCTGTGACTTTTTAAATTCATGTAGCCTATGGCGACCGAGTTCCATCTCGCCACCAACTGACAGAACTCAACTCCTGATTGGTCAACGCGATTCACCACTAGCGATTGATCCCGACCATATAAATACGGATCGACGTAGCCCGTTCTATAATTAATTAATTAATTCATTAATCACAGATATGCGAAAAAAGCTATTCGGATTTGTCGAACTATAGAAGATAATGAAAAGTATTTAAAGCTTCCTGTATTACTTGGTTGCTCTAGAAGTTGCTCTTTACGCGATCCAAGTGGTGTGTATACGGTTTTAGTTTACACTGAGGGTCACATACCCACGACTACAGTGCCTCCTATCCGTGATCAAGGTTACTATATTACTCCGTGATTACCAATTTTTTATTGAAAGCGTAGGGCTAATAGCAGTCCATGCATTGTAGGTCTAAGGTTGGTTCCCTTTTAGCCGATTCAAAAATGGATAGAAGCAAGAATGCGGTTTTCTTATTAGGTATACGAATTTTAGTGTGCATTAGGTCATTAACGGGTTTATGAATACAAGAATGTAACACTAATTAATAACAATGAACAATCTAAATAAACATTAACAAAACTTCCAATTTGAACATTTTGGTAAACGTAAACAGCGAAACAATGAACGAACGGGGAAAGGTCGAGGATCCTGTAAACTGACTCGACAGAAACTCGTATGAAACTGCAACAGTAGTCCACTCCACCAGCTCCCAACGGATTTCATCTCTGTGAAGACGCTTTGGAGTCGGTGGCAAAGGTGGTATTGACTGTGATAGTGGAGACCGTCTAAGAAAGCTTCTTAGCGCGTTCCTTTGATGTTTCTTCTCCCTCGTTGGGGTCGTAGGTGGAGGTCGCTGTGATACGTCCACGATATATGAGAGGTGCAGTTATTAGCAGCGGCAACTCTTGGAATATTGCCACGCTGTAGGAGCGGTGGTAGTCCTACGCTATTAACAGCGGTAGGAATTTAGGTCTACGGTATTAGCAGCGGTAACCCTAGAGGAGATCTTCGCTATTAACAGCGAAAGAAGAGTCAAATTTTACGTCGATACACGCTCTTTCATACCTTGTTTCTACGATGGGGGATGTCCACGTGACTGGTACGTAGTGACCCGCAGTACATGGACCGCTCTTAGCCCTATGCTTTCCATAGAAAGTGGGTTGGTGACTGTTAGGGGCGAGGTTAGGGGGCTCTGTATTTGTGGGTATGTTAATTTCAGGGTAAACTCTAGATGAAAATTTGAAGAAAATTAAAAACCTCTATCTTCTTATCTTCCAACTTTTATCGATGTCTACCCCACACGCGAAAATAAGCCATTGCAGGTTTTTGCACAACATGTGGGGGCGAACGTGTTAAGACATCTTACCTCTTTGTGTATCTCTGTGTCTATTGGAGATATTGGAAAATTAACTTACTACTCTTTACACATTTCCACAATTTGGACGAAATTATCTACGTACAAAACGCAGTAGAATAACTACAGTTTCGCTATCGATTCAACTAATCGGCATCAACTTCCTTAAGTCTCTGCAATCAATTCTAGTTTATTTACATGCCATTTAAGTTAACCCATTGTTTCCATTATTATTACCATGCTTTCAGTCACTTCGATGTTCTCTTATGTGTCGTACCGGAAGTAAATTTTCCTTGGCAGTAAGTAACACTCTACTCAATCTCCGATCTATACGAAGATACAACCTTCGTCCGCTTCTCTACCTTGACTGAGCGTCCCGTGATTACTTTCCGGTTTTTATACATCTTAAATTGCATCTAACAAGGCCCGCACCTTTCAAACGACGAGAGCTTTCGGATGCTGTAAAATTTATGTATAAAGACCTACAGTAAATGTCAGAAATCTGCGATCTTAGAAGAAAGGAAATTCAAGGAAACTCGTTATGATAAAATTTAATTTAGATTGTGTCATTTTTATTGCAACAAAAACTTTCCAAACATTTTAACGGCGATCGGTCTAGTAATGCATAAAGGACCTACAAACTGGCAGGTATACATTCCTTTTTATGCGTATAGATGTGTACACAACGCATTTTCAGTCTTGACGAGTGACGACATCCCCTGAAGGAAATTATAGGTGGAATGTTTTTTCACATAAGAGTCCAGACCTTTGTGAGAGTAGGTAAATCAAAACAGAATGGAAATATCATTTTAATTATTTTTTAATAAATAACGCATGCAGTTGCAAATCAAAGGCGAGGGAAGATAAATCGAATATCAACTTCAAGAAACGACAAAGAAAATATGTACTAATTTCAATCACCTTCAGGAGTGGTTGCTTAAATTTCCGTGGGGAGTTTGTTACGCATTTGATCAATGCTGTATCACTTAAGTTAATATTCTTTTTTTAATCGCGCTTAAAATAGTAGGGTCATTAAGTAATTGAAGTTCGGGTGTATCGTATACAATTTGCAAACTTTATGTGTAATAAATTATAATTAAGTTGAAGTAGGTACGGTCAAGGTTATACAAGTAAACACTTCAATGGTAAAATTGCAATAATTCCCCATTATAATAGTCGTAATTTTTTCATTGAGTGACGCAAACACCGCCGTTTGTATTTAATTTAGCACATGTGCCAAAATGGCAAGTTTTATATCATACCAACCTTTTCAGAAGTACAATGTTCAAAGCAATTGCTTTTACTTCTTTGTGTGTGCTGGTTTATGGGATTTCAAAGCGGAATACTAACATTTTCGTAGAAGGTAAGAGACTATTATTACCCCTTCGTGCATTCCTTTACCGACTAAGATCAAATCAATAATTCCCTGCCACTTTAACTTTGAGATATAAATGCAAGAAAACTCAAACGCCACACCGGCTTGATCTAGGTAACTTTTTGTTAAGAATAAAAATTACAAACCTCAACTGGAACTATTTGTTCCCATAAATTAGGAATGCCTGAATAAGCAATGGATTTCGAAAACTAAGATTTTACTGAATACTCCAACAAGTTACCTCCTTAGTTTATAGACATTTAAAATAAACTCCTGCAAATATTCTTAGCTCGTATTACTTTATCCTATAGGAATGGACACATCACTTCCTCGTGCAAAGTGATCATAGATTAAAAAACACTGAACTTAATTAGAACACAGTGGTAACTGATTTCAAAGTTTCTTTAGACGTTTCTTAGTTTTAGGTGATGCTGGTGGATTATCACCTTAACGAACCGATATCTGTATATTGCTTGAACTATTTCCACTCATTTACGGAATAGTTGTATGCGCGCCCAAACAAATTCGCCCAGGAAAATTTATCCCACAAGTCAGAATACCCCATCTGGAATGCGGCATCTGACATTTAAAGGTTCGTTACAAAAAATAGAAGAACTTAATAACATTCTGGATGTTCATTGTTTCGCCATTTTTTTCTGTGGGTAACAGGCAGTTTTACGACACTTGATATCTTCACCTATTGGTTTGGTTGATATCTTGGTTATTTTATTTGTAAGAAGTTGGATTCTCTTTTATCTTAACAATGAACAATTTTATCGTGTAAATTTTGCACTAATGATGATGGATATTGCTGTGTGCGCAGCCGAAATGTCATGCAGAACTTCAGAGTTAACTGAAAAAAATAAATGAGACTCATCTTACCATCCGTCACTGAAAATGACTTCAAAAGGACACAACAAAATTTGACTGCATTTTCACAGACATTTTTTAAGTCACACATTCGGCTTGCCCAAATTACAAGAGACTCAAATTTATTGAGTTTATAAACACACGTGACAAAATTTAACAACAATTACTAAAATTAGATCAATCCTACCTTTTCCCAATACTGGCTCAATTAAATCTAACCGAAAAAATTTAAATGTTTCCTAAACAGCACTTACGACAAAAAAACTTTGTCACTTTTCAAACACTTGTATGATCTTCAGGTCTATGCAGACTTCTTTTTCATTGAATTCAGACGCTATCTTGTTAATGATAAATAATAAAGTCGACCTTTAATAAATTGCATTGCGAAATTTTGTGAACCTTGCATTCAAAACGGTGATAGAAACTCAACGTCCACGGGCACAACCAGCCTCATCTAGCGCAACCCACTTCCCGTTTCTTTTCGTCGTACTTTACGTAATAAAACACTTGTCTTATCACGTAAGTTCCAGTGCTTCCAATTAACAAATAAATTTTAATATAAGAAATTCTATACAGACAGGGAAACACCTGCATCCTGCATCTTTAGCATTTTATAATAGCATCAATTTAAATAAAAGCAATAATTTCGCATGTTTTTCTAATAAATCCTAAATTCACGTTAAATCACAGGCGAATTATCCGTAGCGTAACCAGTATTTCTGATTTTCCCGAAATCGTCATGAAACCTTGCCTTTCCGTCCTCCTGTCACCTTGCCAGACGTCTGTCAAAACTGACACATTAATATTAATAAAAAGTTTTACATGATTAGAAATTTTATATTAAAAAAGACGATTTCGAGAACAATATACTACAAAACTCGTCGGTAAAAAGTACTCGGCCCTCAAGGTATTTTGACGAGGCGAAGCCGTTTACAAATCTAGTACTTCGTGCTACGATTTTCGTCAGGAAATTACAGGATTTTTGACAGTTGTAGAAAAAAGAGATTTTGTCGATGTTGTCAAAAGAATCAAAAGTCAAACCAGTAACAACGTGTTTATATTCATTGCTAATAGTATATTAAGTATGGAGAACGGTAAGGGATTTTTACCGTTCGAAGACAATTGTTTGGAGGAGGAGCGAAGCGACGACTCCAATTATTGTCTGAGAACGGTAACCCTTAACGTTCGACGTGCTTATAACATTTTTTGCGCGATCGAAATTAAAATTATCCAACCAATATAACTATGCACTAAGAAATTAACGAGCAGAATAAATCGAAATGATCGAAGTGATATGGCGTACATCACTAGGCAACCAGTTTAAATGTCAAAATTGAAATTAATAATTTCATAAAAATGTGCATGTGTCTGATGTAGTTTACTAGCTTTGCACTTCCTTTATGACTATGAGCGTCTTGCTATAGGAAACAACAGCACAAATTGTACGTTTAATGTACCTAACAATAATTAAAGATTAAATGTAATGTAAGACTGTTGATTTTTAAAAAGGCGTCGGTAAGTATTTTTGCTGTTCTGTTTTTAGATCGGTAAGTAATTTTGGCGTCGTCGTAATCATAGCAACTGGTAAATTCTACGTACTGTCATGGAAACACCCATGGTAAATAGTCAGAAATGACCGATCGCGCAAAAAATAACGATGGAGATCACTTACGCTGCTGTAATTATAAAATAGACACGTAACATGCAAACAAACTCAAAAGTAATATTTAATTGCAAACTTCTGAATGAATATTCCCAACAAACAAAATTTACAATAAATCCTAAACAAAAATTAATTTACAAATCTGAATACCCACTCACGCCTGTTTCTGCCATCAGGAAAGGCAAATAACGATTAGTCAACTGCAATTTAATATTCTATTTAATGGAAATTCTATAAGCAGAAATATCCAACACCCGCATTTGTATCGAATTACGATTATTGACGATTGTTTTTCTTCTTCTGAACCAGCAAGCCTCTTCCCCCACACTTCGATTAGAATAGGGCATGATAACATTTTTGAAACAAAACGTTTTTTGACTCACGACTCGCATATTTAGATATTGATTGACTGGATTGTTATTTGAACAATATCATTCAACAATTTCAATGACGTACTTTTACTGTTATTTTTATATATGCCACCTTATGTACTTTATACCAGGGCCGGACTGGCCCAGGCCGCTAGGCCGCCCGAGCCCTCGTGGAACCGTAAAGCGGAGTGTCCGTCGCGGGGCCCCTTTAATGTAATGTTCAACACTGTTCAGCAAGTTGTTTGAAATACAATTAAAAAATCTGCAAATCCCTTGTCATTTGGGGGGGGGGGGAGGGGGGAGGTCTATGAGTTTGGGGGCCTTTTGGAGCGCCCGGGTCCTTACCCACCCAGTCCGGCCCTGCTTTATACCATATTATTTTATTTGATTATTAAATTTAAACTTGAGTTGGCACGATCAACCGACTAACCCAAACTTAATAATTATTAGATTACCTTGAATTTACGCATCATCTTTTTATATGACGTTGGCCCGTAATAAGATCACCAATTCTTTTCGTAAAAATCATAATTTTGCATGATCAAAAGAAACCAATTTTAGGTCCAATAGCACAGAAAATTAAACCATGTTAACACGGGATTAGATTTGATGCATTGGTCAAGGTATCTGATGGGATGAGTAGTGGGGGGATAGTGTCAAAGGTATGAACCAATCACCTATCACCAGAATCAATTATAAACAAGAATCAAATAGGTTTGTGCACCAGGTGTTTTAAATTTAACAGACCTCAATACAATTCAGCAACTATTTTTCATAATTAATTATTTACACGATCAAACCAGAAAGAAAAAATATATACTTTAGCTTTTTTATCTTGCCTTTCAGTACCGAACTCTAAAACAAATGAAACGATCACAGCTTCAATGAATTTCTTTGAAACCTTAAAAAAACGGAAATCCCATATCTTGAACAAGAAATACCATTCGTTTCTCCAACTACGTTTGAAACATTTTGGAATTTTAGATCTCTACGATATAGTATGTACCATATTCTCTTCTAAAATCTACTAACACTTTTACATACATTTGCCAGAAAAATGTCAAAATCAAATGTTTTACATTTATTTCTCAACAAAACATCCACGGGTAACTAGATCTTGTTAAATCAACATGGCGATGCATTTAAATTATTTTCTTTTTTGTTATGGAAATTCTGATAACAAATTCGAAATCCGCCAAATAAGTGCTCATAAAAGGTGCTAAAGGTAAAGTAAAAACGAAATTTGCCATTTTTAGTTTTTCGGTGATGTCTCAGTTATTTTAAAAAAATTTTCAAACATTTCTTTGCTTTTTCATTAGTGCATGGTTTATGATTTTTCAATTGTATTTTAATAGGTAAGCCATGTAATCCGGTTGAATCGAAATTTTGCAATGTCTATGTCGAGTTGCTAGCAAACAGTAATTTCAAAAATGTTAAGGGAAAAAGGGTTTTGGTACATGGAATTCTCAAGACGGTACATTAATCGTATAATTTGATGTTATTTTTTATCTTGTTTCGATGTCATTTGTCAACCTCTACATTGAAACCTATTCACTTTTTGATTTTTTCCATCGTTTTAATTTTTTTCCGAATAATTCACCATAAGCAAAAACCTCACTTTTATGAATCGTGGCGACCTTGTTTTTGAAGTTAAGGAATAAATTTGACCAATACTGTTAATCTGAGTAAAGGGAAACACTTTGATATTGAGAAAGTTGGATTTACTGATATTAGGCTGTTCGCTATGAAATAGAAAAATTTCCAAATTTCACACTGCCATAACTACGAGTATTTTTTTTCAACTCAACTACCATTATTTCATTCGATAGTCATTTATGTTCTTTTCAACTTTTATAATGGGTGACCTACGTCTTAACGTCGTAGTTTTTAGGTTATTTCATATTTTTCACAAATGTACCTATCCATTAATTGATTACATGTTTATGCCCCGGAGTAGACCGCGATAATGAAAAAAAGTCGTTATGCCGCTTGTGAGCAAGAAAGGCCAAGAGTGCACTTTGACATTTGTTTTTTCCTAACCACATATTAGGTGGTAATGAAATAACTAATTTGTGACACTTGTTTCATTTCGGGTATTCTTTTGTTTTTTTTTGTTATCACGGCCTACTACATTCAATTAATTAATAGGTACTTTTCTGAAAAATATTGAAGAACTACGAAGTACAGACATACTTTATTTCTATATGTATAGAAATGTAGAGATTAATAGAAAAACGGGCGAAAAATTCAAACAAATACCATCTGAACTATTGACTATTGAATATAATTTTAATTAAAGCGAGTGATGACGGTTTCTTTTCACTTTCACTTTTCACTGCTTGATTTTAAACTTCGAATCGCTTACTAAGTTTTCCTAACCTTAAAGCAATCTATTTATACCCTGATTTATACTGTATGTCTTCAACATCGAGAAAAATGACCTGACAATCACATCGATAACACAATACAAAAATGTCAAAGTATATCAATAAAAAAAAGGTGGCACTTACGACAAGGATTATTTTGTAGTGGTATCTTGTTGAGAAAACTTTAATAAATCAATCTCTTCAAGTCAAGTACCACCTTTTTGCTGCGTTCGCTGTTCCTATCGAACTCCGCTACACCAAGCTAATATCTTACATGAAAACAATGTTTGTTGAAATAAATTGGTGTTGATGTATAATGTAACTGTAGCATAAATAACGGCATATCATCTATAAGTTTTACCCGAAACACAAATAGAATCCAAATAAGGCTTGCATATTTTAGCTACCCGACTTTCGGCTAAGATCTGTAATATATGTATAGAAATGTAGAGATCGAGTATGGAGATGTAACCGCAATTCTGTAGTTAAAAGCAACTTTAATTTTCAAAATGGAAATTTGTACACTGTAGGCGAAGTTCGCGAGTCGACTGATTTAGATTATTTTCTTTGTAAATAAATTCGTTTACTTAAAAAGAACTCTTAATTAATACGCCCGCGGTGTAAAATAATACAAACGAATTAAAATGTCGTTTCTTGATTTCGAAAACGGAATGCTTTATAAATTCCATAGATAAAGGAACACTTCTGAATACCGGCTCGTTTTTAGACGTACGTAGATATTTACCAGCGATCGATACATGAAGTTATTCTTTTTGAAAGAAAGTTGTAAGATACTGGAGACTGTCACCCGGGTTTTCAACGTCGGCGTCCCAATTTCCTCTTCTGTGTAGTCCATTGTAGTAACACCTTTGGGATAGCTAATATGTTCTGGGAGGCAGAGACGATCGCACGTTGAGTAATGTTGTTCAGGAGAAATTTGACTCTATTGGCGCTCAGGTGTCTATCCCAGTTCACGCCAAGTAGAAGAGTTTTTAACGAGTATTGTACAGCCAGATGTTCTGAATGCGAACGCTTACACCTGCTTAACTCGAACCTGGTTTCGTCCAAAACCATACTGGATGCTCGAATGAATTCTTCTAGAATCCCTTCATTTTCCTCACATACATTCTGCATAAAGTTTTTGCAAGGTCGTGATAATGTTTGGATTGTACGCCAATTCACCAGTGATGCAATCTGATCTTCACTAGAATAGAAAAATTAAACGTGGCCAACCACTCTTTGTTGTATCACAATGATAAGGGCGGAATCTATGAGTGAGTGCGCTTTATTGTATAATGTGTCCAACATCTACTTTTACTCCCTTGCACATATCTGTTTTTAATGCACCACCCTGTGTATGTGTATAGTGTATAGGCTACCAACGACTTACGTTAATGAACCAATTTAAGTTGGTTTGTGCGTAACATTTCAGATTTCAGGTCTTATTTACCAGGAAACTTTGCCGTTGCATGATCGTACAGTATGAGAGGGTTGGTTGATTAACGAGAGGTATGGGGTGATAAATAGCGATTAAAAGTTCTCAAACGCCACATTTTTAACTTGAGTTAATTAGACCGCTACTTGAAAATTCCATATTTGAATTTCATTCCGGAAACATCGCTTGTAATTTTTGTCGTGTTATGCGCAATCCGAATTAATTGACACGATTACAATTTCAGATTATGCCCTCATGAAAGAATATTTCTGTAACGAGTAATTCAAATTTGGCCGTGCCATATTAATTATTTTTCCATTTCTCGCTTTTAGTGTAATGAATAAGTGCAATTGAAACTGTATATTACATTAAAAACTTCGAGTAAAAAGTAATTAGTGCCTTTAAGTGAGATGCTCAATTATCTTGAGTGTTATGGAAGCGAAAAAATATGTTGCACAATAACTTTTCATTTCTAGTTTAATTACGAACCCATATAAATGTCGTAATAGTGTTACCTAAGCTGTACTTCACAGCAAAGTGCCAAGTAATTAGTTTGCAACACTAAAACAATTTTGGCAACTAAAGCTTTGTATAACCTTTTGGCATTGTGTGTTTAACTAAATTTCATTGTACTAGACATATTTATTCTATTGTGCTAATGTATAGGTACCTACTAATTTGAAATATATTAATTATAATAATTGCATAAGAACGTGTACTGTCATTTAGTAAACGAGCTTACTAGTTCATTTGCTGTGCTTTGGAGAAACGCCCTCGTAAATTGCAGGTGAGCGAAATTATTTTCGAAACATAATATACCTCCTTTATGATACACATTATTATTATTTATGTTTTCAAATTATAACGGTCGTTTTGAGTAAATTGTAAATGTAGGCGTTTACAAACCTTACCACACACAGGATAGATACCAAATTAGCTACTGTGTTTATCCGCCCCCGCACTCCATTTATACAAATAATGCATTTTTAGTACACCAGAAAATTGCGTTTGTTTTCTTGCCTTAGATTACCTGACTTTTTTACGGTATTTCTTTCGTTTTGTGTAACCAGAAATCGTCGAAATGTGCGAAGAAGAGAAACCAGTGAACAGTATGTAATCGTAAACGATTTGCTTATGCACATTTCAATTAGGCCAGTTATTTTAAATTCAGATTGGTAAATTTTACTTCCAAAAATTCTCTTCATCATTTCAATATACAGTGTGTCCCAGATCGCGTGGGATTGCATGGGTAACTTTGTTATTATTAAAGATAGAGAATTGGTTAAATGGGCAATGTTTTGCAGTTTTGGATGCTTATTTAAAATTTCCTTATGGAAATTCAAAATGTCGCATAGGTTCGACGTAAATTCAAAAAAACTAAAATTGGTCATTTCCTTGAATGTCTTATATCATCGAAAGTATAAGAGATATAAAAAAAAGTTTTATATAAAAGTGACTGTCTTTGATACGCTTAATTTAGAATTGATGTCAAAAAAAAATTCAAGATGGCTACTTTTGAGGAACATTTACCAACTTCCTAAAGTTAAATAGGCGCTATATGAGATTTTTAAATTACTTGATAGATTTTTTAATTCTCTTTTCAACGAGCCATCAGAACATAAGATTGAAAATAAGATACCAGTTATATCAACGGTTTTTGTATTTTAATCAAGTAGGCTGTGATGAATTAAAAAAAAAACAAAACAAAATCTATGCCAACAAAACAATGAAAATAATTACATCAGATGTTTAAAAAATCAGGGGCGCACTCATGAGAGGGGGGTTTGGGCATTACAACTCCCTCCAAAATTTTATATAAGTAGGCCTAGAAAAATTTTGATTTTTATAACATCACTTATTGACTATCTTATTATCCATACTTACATACCTACAAATGGTGGTATAACTACAAACTATCCCCTCGAAAAAATGTCATGCCATTATCCAGTTAAACACATTTCAAGACACTTTGCTTTATTTTACTATTTGATGCATTGTCCCAGGTCACATTTTGTAGGTCGGTAGGTGGTTTATCCGCAAGAATATCGAAACTAACAGTTTTACCAGTCCGAGTATATGGACAGATGAATCTTTTTCTAACTGCGGAGTGTTCAACTCGACATAATGAACACTATACTCGTCACAGGAAAACCTACATGATGTAGTTTCACGCCGAAATCAAGTCATATTTTTTTAAATTAATGTATTTTATGGCATAATGGGAAGTCATGTAATTGGACCGGTAATCTTTGTTGGATCTTTAACTGCTCACCATGATTTACAAATTCTCCAATAAACTTCCTTAAAGGATTTTTCTCGACAACGTATGTTTCGAAGAAAGGGTTGGTTTAAGCTACCTACCAACAAGCTGGCTGCTCAGGTCACAATTCACGAATTATGTACAGTACATTAAATTATAAAAGTAAGTACTTAATTAAAAAATAAAAGTAAAGTGGAAGTAGCTACCACTACTGCAATAACAATAATAATCATCAATGGCAACACGTTGCCTAAACTAAACTGTCTTGAAGTGTGTTTCACTAATAATGGCCAGTATTTTAAACATCTGGTGTAATTATTTTCATTGTTTTGTTGCCTCGAATAGATTTTGTTTTGTTTTTTTTATTCGTCCCAGACTACTTGATTAAAATACAAAAACCGTTAATATAATTGGTATCTTATTTTCAATCTTATGTTATGATGGCTCGTTGAAAAGAGAATTAAAAAATCTATCAAGTAATCTAAAAATCCAATATGGCGCCCATTTAACTTTAGGAAGTTAGTAAATGTTCCTCAAAAGTGGCCATTTTAAATTTTTTTTTGACATCAATTCTAAATTAAGCGTATCAAAGACAGTCACTTTTATATAAAACTTTTTTTATATCTCTTATACTTTCGATGATATAAGACATTCAAGGAAATGACCAATTTTAGTTTTTTTGAATTTACGTCGAACCTATGCTTCATTTTGAATTTCCATAAGGGAATTTTAAATAAGCATCCAAAACTGCAAAACATTGCCCATTTAACCAATTCTCTATCTTTAATAATAACAAAGTTACCCATGCAATCCCACGCGATCTGGGACACACTGTATAGTGTGAAAATAGGCTTACTTCGGTTTTTTCCTACCGTAACTTCCACTTTCTTATCGGAATTTTTTTAAATACAACAATAAAAATACAAAGAACCAAGATTATACAAATAAAATGACCACATTACTTTTTCTAGTTGTAGACTCCGGGCAAAATTTTGAATATAGCGAAACGTTGGGGTTTGTTATTGTGTTGTTAATAACCAGAAAACGTTCTTTAATTGATACCACTTTTTAAAAAAGGGAAATTTCCCTTTTTTTCACACACTTAATTTATAAATTATGCAAAAATGAGGCACTTAAAAAAAGACGCTTTGATAAATAACGCGCAAAAATACCCACAAGTTTATGATCCTACAGTTGTTTTTCCAACTGTTATTGGGAGACGTATTGAAAATGTGATAATTTTTTTAACTAGAAAAGAATTCCGCTTTACTTACATACTTACAAAGACATTTCAAACTTAATTATGGGCCAATAGTACCTGTTGAATGGGAAAAGTCTATGAAAAAATGCTGAATGAAATATTAACCTGGAGCTCTCATCTTTGCCTCTCCACGCCTCTTTCTTTTTTCCGGGTTCAAATCACTACTCCGGATTTTATCTCATCCCATTTACGCCCCTTTCCCCCGCAGTTGCTGCTTGAACCACCCTTCCCCTTCTTATCTCTCTTTCGTGCATTTTTTTTACATCTCTATGGCGTCCTTTAAAGTTTTCTGCCACGTTCGTCAAGTCGCCTTTGCTATTCCTTTACGGCTACTGCATGTTTCGTTCAAACCTGGATCACACTTCCTTCAAACCTTCTTCGCGCGTCCGTTAATTTTCCTCTACGCCCTTCCTTCCTTTTTTTCTTTTTTCTTTCTCGCTTTTCTCACATCTCGTTTACATTTTCTTTGCACCTCCTCCACCCATCCCGTTTTTTGGACGCCTTTTCAAGTTTTCTTTACCGTCCTTTTAGATATCCCTCTTACATACCTTCTTCAAATCTTCCTCGTGCTGCATTCAAGCTTTCAGTGCACATAACCCAGACAAAAAGTTCGGAAAACACCGGGGTGAGGGGGAGTCCGAGTAAAAGGCTGAAAGGCTGTCGAAGAGCTTTTCAAAGGCTGCAGTGGTATAGAATTCCGTAATCCGGTACTTACCTAGAAAACTCCTTTAATAAGATTCATCCCGATACCTGCTAATCCCATTATTAAATTGTATGACTGGAGTGGGAGAGATGTATCCCGATATTTATTATACGCCATCCCTCGTCTAACAATTCTGTCATTAGACCTAGAGTAAATATTTACGAACCTAATTAGATATCAATTATAATTTATATTAAGCATAGATTAAGCTACCCAATCCAATTGGGCATTCAAGCAAGTAATTAATTATTTAATTTTTTAACATTGGAAATGCCTATGTTTTGTATATGGGTATGAAGTTACCAGTATCGTTCAAGCAGAAAAGACAGGGGTGTCGTATTAAGTGATGATTGTACCGTACTCTGCCGCAATCGGTAGGTTAAGGAAAAGTCGCAGACATCTGTCCATACGGTACTTACTTAATAGTGTGCAATTGTTTTGTTAATTCCAATGTATAATTCTCGCACATCTCCTTTAATAGGATTACGAGCATGTTATGACGAGGCTTATTATTCAGAACGTGTACGTTTGCGACACGAGCGAGCTTGCGAGCGAGTGGAGCAAGTGATCCCGGGTGAATTATTTGTGTTTTACATATGGCGTTATACGGTTATCAGTTCCAATGTTTTCGATGGTTGCATGTATTGCGAAATCTGTAAATGTTAATTATTCTATTTTGCGTCAAATATAGGTTCATTTAAACGGTAATTTAAGGGTATTTTACACCCCTCTAGCAAGAACTGGAAATACATTCCCATCCCAAAGCTTTATTCAAGGTGTTCCAATCTCACCTAGATTTGCAGAAGTTCTAGAAAGCTTTGAAAAATATTTGAGATGATGCCAAAATCTCTCCATAAAATGCTTTAAAAGAGGAAAGAGTAAAGGAACTGTTTTTCAAAGAAATCGAAATGTACACCAGATCCGACATCTTGCAGAGCATGGAAACTTGTGAAGTTAAAAAACAATGAGTACTTTATTTATTGATCTTTAGATACGAGAAAGTCGTCAGAAGGCCTGTTCAACCAAAATTCGGGTGACTTTAGAAATTCTTCGGTAACGGCTGTCTCGTCGCTCTAAAACGAGAGGTGCATAAGGCATGTAATATAAACCTAGAGCTCTTACGTCAAGGTAGTGATCTGTGGTACTTCCAGACGAGTTGTGAATGTCCATCGGTGAGCCAACACTGTATCCTCCACGCAGACGTGACTTACAGCAGCAGCATTTCGCCTTAAAGTTGTTTAGTACCCTGAAACGGTTCTCGGTAAAGCGGCATTTGCAGGTGTTCGAGACTTACGCGGTTATTTTTTGGAAGTTCTCGTAGAGCTGAGCATAGGCGCACCGAAGATACTGGATCTCCTTCAGGTAACCCTGGTTTTTGACCTCCAGCTGCTGTCTGGCACTGCGCAGGTGGTGTATCTCGCATAGACAATTCTGCACGTGCTGCTCGCTCGCCAAATTATGCTGATCGAGCTTAGTGGCGGCGTCTCGCATTTCGCTCAATTGCAAACAGAGCGCTTCGTTCTGCAAGTACAACTAAGTACATCGACACATCTTTGGGCCTAC